TCTAGTGTACAGCCATCTAGGGTACAGCCATCTAGGGTACAGCCATCTAGGGTACAGTCATCTAGTGTACAGTCATCTAGGGTACAGCCATCTAGGGTACAGTCATCTAGTGTACAGTCATCTAGTATATAAGTCATCTAGTAGACAGTCATCTAGTAGACAGTCATCTAGTGTACAGTCATCTAGTGTACATTCATCTACGGCACAGTCATCTACGGCCCAGTCATCTAGGGTACAGTCGTCTAGTGTACAGTCATCTAGTAGACGTCATCTAGCATTCAGATCATCTAGTAGACAAGTCATCTAGTATATAAGCTGAACAACAACTACAAATGCTAATTTTGAGTTGAGAATAAAAAGTCATAGGCAAGTTCACACACGTATGTGCACTCCCTGGAGCCATGTCTCTCAAGGCATGGCCTGTGCTCGAACACATACAGTGCAGCTATCTCAACTGATGGAGCTGGAATCTCTGGAGGCTGAGAACAGCCATGGTGCCCCAGACAAACACTGTTCCTGGCTCATGTCTTAGAAGCTCTAACGAGTGCCTAGGGACTTAATATCAAATGTCAGTATTCCTTCAGAGACTGTTGACAGCTTCCTTCATTCTTCCTGGGTCAGCAGAGAGGAAATGCTTGGTAAATGTTTATAAAACCAACAGGTGATGTAACGTGTCGAACGCCCCCCAAGCCCACCAGGCTTGGGTCTTCAACAAAAAAGAGACTCAGGCATACGTCTGAAGTTATGCGAGGAATTTATTAAAGGGACAGCAAGTACAGAGAGGAGAGCTCTCTTTAGAAGGAAGTATCAGGGAGAAAATCTACTGAGGGGTCCCACAGGTCCTTTTTATCCTACCCGGAGTTTGGGTCACCTAGGTGAATCTTAACAACAGAAACAAAAGGGTTACTAAGAGACAGCACGAAGGCTGAACTGCAACTAACTTTCTAGAAGACTTGATCTATCATCCAGGTACATAGCCAGTCAGCTCTGACCGCTGAAGCAGAGAACTCAAAAGCTCTTAAAGTGACACTCTCCTAATTTCCAATGCTTATGGCAAGCATGGCTCCCGACAGTAACCAGCAGATTAAAGGAGTGAGAAGAGGGCAAAGGGACAGGGGGCAACTTCTGCCAGCACTCGCTTCAGCATCCACACTACATAGAACCCTTCCAGCCTCCGCAAGCCTTCTGCACCAGCAGGTGTATGACCTGTCCAGATGAGACCGCTGCTTTCCTCAGTGTGCCTGCAGCCCCGTCGGCTCTTACCTGTATCCCCAGGTCTTTCATTCTTGCAAACGCCAGCTCCCGGAGGTTGCCGTGCTCTACCCCGGAGCTGACTAAGGGCATGGGAATGTCTCTGTGGGAGAAAAACATTGCTGTGGTGAAGTGATCCTCCACAGTGGTGTGGCAGGGGAATTAAAAAAAAAGAAAAGCCAAAGCTACAAAGCAGAAGGCAGAAGCTGAACATCCTAGCCAGGAAGCAAGGCTGGGTGTGTCCCTCAGCCTCAGCTGTCCATCTAGGAAGCTGATTTCCAGCCCCCTCTCGGCTTTGGCATGTAATGGAAGTCACTTTATAAATGAACAAAGCAGAGACTCAGTGCCCAAGTGCCTGGGAGACATTAGCAAGGACATCTGTACTAAATAAAACATGAATTAAAAAAACTAAACTTCAACTTATTTAATGGAGAGAAATAACAATTTTGATTTGTGCATTGCCTTAAGCTTTACAACCAGTTTCCCACAGTAGCTGAATCAAAGTAACTATGAAGCTGAAAGCCAGGCCTTGATACAAACAGGTCTCAAAGACCATCCTACCCCTCCAAAATCCAAACTAAAGGGGAGTAAGTGCTTGCCTAAAGATAAGGAGATTAAGATTTATTTCCTGCATTATGGACCTGGAAAGACGGTTCCATGCTTAAGAGCACTGTCTGCTCCTGCACCCTCTGTGTGCAGAGCAGTGCATGAAGTGATCCCAACTCCATGTACAGACACTGTCATGGCTCCAGACACTGAAAACCTAGGCTAGACTAGTTCAACTTGCTGCCTCCATCTAGGCAGGAGTTAAAAATGACTTTTAGGTTCCTCAAAATAATTCCTTCCAGCCCTTTTCCTGGCTTGAGGGGCGATTACACGTGAGAACATCTGCCTTCCCATTTCAACAGGTAATATTTCAAACTTAGAGGTGTTAATATTTGCAATTTGCTCATCAAAACCTTTCAAAGTGATGGCTGGAGCTGTTTCTGTCTGAAGTTCCTCACGCTTCAGTAATGTGTTTCGGTTGTAAATTGGTATTCCTGTTCTGATGCCTCACAATGATTTAATATCATATCAAGGCAGACAGCTGTCGAACAGCCTTGGGCAGCCACGCTCTAACTCAGCTCCAAAGCAGCTCCCATCGTGTGCCGGACAGAATTCTACACTTCATCACTGACTGCACTCCTCAGGGTTACAATAAAAGAGTCATCCAGCAGGATGCTGCTTCATGAGGACACCCAGGAGACAGTACTGACTCAACTGTCGAAAGCCAAAAAAGTAAGAGACAGTTTAAAGGTGGAGAGGAGACACAGTGTGGAAAAGAACCAATCTAAAACATTAAGCTAGCTATTAGTAAAATATACAAGAAAAGGAAAATGTGGAATATAGTGTTTTCACAGGAATTATCTTCCTTCCCGTGGTTCCTCTAGATACCTGCCATATAGTTCCATATAAACACTGGAAGCCAACCTTTGCTAGTCCACTGTGGCTGGCAGAAGATGCCATGAGGTGACCCTGCACAGAAACAGGCTGCTTTGCTAAAAGCCCAGAACAGAAAGTTGTATGAGTTCCCTATATTACCATTTCCAACAAGAACAAGCTACTTAATGCCTTTGAGGACGCTTTTCTCTCCCAAGGCCTGGCTGAGTACTTCCACATCAGGGCTGGAGTGCTTGAGAGTGCATGTGCAGAGTGGCGTCTTGTTTCTGTATTTGCACAATTAGCCCAAGACTTTAAAGTTAAAAGAAACACACTGAGAAGACCTCCCCCCCTGCCAGCTCTTTTCCCAAACCAGGTTCCAGCCACCAACACTCCTTAGCACTACGCCTTCCCTCTGCACTTCTGATACACTTAAGAGGTCTTTTTTAATTATGTGTACACGTGCATGTGTGTGCAGGTGCCTGCAGAGGCCTGAAGAGGGCACTGGATCCCCTGGAGCTGCAGTTACAGGTGGTTGTGAAGTGTGACATGGGATCTGAACTCTGGTCCTCTGCACAGCACCACTTGCTCTTAACTGCTGCACCATGTCTCCAGTCCCCCTCTGCAGCCCCATCTCTCCAGCCCTCCTCTGTAGCTTTCCTCCCTTCCCTAGCCTCCTTTTCCCTTTGTAGTAAGGCTACATTGCTCATTTACAAGTTCGTTCGCAATTTCATCATCCAGCTCTTGATACAAGTTTCTTTCTCGAACCTCAGATGTAACAAATTCTACCTAAATCAGGATATAAAATTTAAAAGTCCTTGAAATGAAACTTAAAGGCTTTAAGCAGACAAGATGCTATTTCACACTAGGAAAATGACTGCAGAATATTCTCGTATTGTGTGCCCCACATGGGTAGGGACAAGCTTTTGGTTCGCTAGGTTCCAGTCTGTCTAGATGAGAAGATTCAAGATGAGGCAACAGTTATGAACACCTTCTGGGGTTATCTCCATAAAAAGCACCATTTTTAGAATTCAAATCCCATAACTTGCAAATTAAACACAGACAACTGATATAAAAAAAAACATGAATGATAATCAGATACAAGGAAAGAGAGTCAATCCTCACTAATGGGAAAATGCAAATTAATACACATAATTAAAAAAATATAGGTGTATAACTCTGTAGAGGATGTGATAAAACGAGGAATGATTTACATAAATTAGCATAATCTCTTTGGAAAACCTTATTAATCATATCAATGCATGCAGCAAAACGGCCACATTTATTTATAGTCCTCGTTTCAGGAACGGCTTACAATATTAATAACAATGAAAAAAGATGCTTAGATCTGTCACCATGGGAAAGTCTCATAGATTACACTATTATAATAGTGGTGAAAAGTTCAATGTACATGGATTTTAGTTATAGTGGAGGCTAGGGTGATAATTAAAGGGGGAAAAATGTAAAGAGACCTATGTGATGGTTAATCTCAATTGTCAATTGGATAAGATCTAGAATCATGTGGAGAAAGGCCTCTGGGCATGCCTTGTGGGAAAATGTCTTGACTCTATTATTTGAAGAGGGAAGACCTGCCCACTGTGGGTGGCGTCATTCCCTGGGCTGCGACCCTGGACTGTAGGACAACAACTTAGCGGAGTACAGATGTGCATAGTTCTGCTCCTGGGCCATGGAGACTCCTGCCACCTGGCTTCCCTGGCATGATGGACTGGACCCTGGAACAGTGAGCCAGAAGAACCTCCTCTCCTTTAAGTTGCTTTTGACAGGGTATATTATAATTCACAGAAACAGAAAATAACTAAGAGAACCTGGAAACCTAGACTTTTGCCTAACAATGGGAACAGCTACTTATCAAAGAAAAATGAGACTATTGTGTTGCCATTAAAATTTTAACTATGAAAATGGTCCTAATCTTTTTCTGTATTTGGAAAGTTTTTAATTGAAAAATAACTGTATATAAGTGGGTCCCAGTGTGCTAATTTGATACACTGTGGAATGGTCAATTAGAGTATTTAAAGCACATCTTTCCACTACAATATCATTTCTTTGTGACAAGAAGATTCAAAGACCTGTTTTTTTATTATCCTAACCATGCACCCCCCACCTTTTTTGGTGGTGCTAGGACTGGACCCAGGGCCTCCACTTGCTAGACAAGTGTTGTATGACTGAACTATGCCCCCAGCCTCATGATCTTGATATACACAACTATTATAACCATAGTTACCCCACTGTACCCTACAACACTAGAACTCTATTCCTCCTGCCTAAATGTAATTGTGTTCCAATAGATGAATGCCTTTCTGGTCCACTCCCAAGCTCCCCAGCCTCTGGCAGCCACTATTTTTCACTCTGTATTTCTGTACGACCAGTCTGTTTAAATTCCACAGACAGTGAGATAATGTAGTATTTGATTCTCTGTACCTGGTGTATTCAGTTAACACGTCTTTACTAAGAACTAGAAAACAATGAGATCATACTTGCCAATCTACAAAGGATGCCATGTAAACAAGCATTCCGCCTGGTGTGGTGACGCACGTAAAGGCACTTTGATCCCAGCACTTGGGAAGCAGAGGCAGGCCAGCCTGGTCTACACAGTGAGTTCCAGGACAGCTGGGGCTACAGGGAGACCCTGTCTCAAAAAGACGAAAAAAAAAAACCCCACCACCACCAACAACAAAAACAAGCATTCCAATCAAACAAGGGAATTTGGGGAAAAATATTAGCTCATTAGTAACATATATGTTGAAAAGATTCTGAAGAAGTTCTAAAACACTGTATTCATGCAAATGTAGTATGACATGATTAGACAGGAATAGAAATTCTTTAAGGTAATACATCACACACTGCTAGAAACAATGTATAAAGCTAATCTGATTAAGAAGTAATGCATGGAGATCACTGACAGAGAACAGAGGAAAAAGTCTGCACACGCTCAGTGTTGTTCTGAGTATTTTTTAAGTTTTTTAAAAATATTTTATTTATTATTATTTTATGTATATAAGTGTATTGCCTGCACGTGTATAAGTGCACCCATGTCATGCAATGCCCACGGAGGTCAGAAGAGGGCATTGGATCCCCTGGAACTGAGTTACAGACATTTGTTAACTGCCATGTGAGTGCTGGGAATCGAACCCAGGCCCTCTGCAAGAGCAGTCAGCGCTCCTAACTGCTGAGCCATATCTCCGGCCCCTACCTCGAGTATTTTTATATTGGGTTGTCTGAGACCATGAATGTAGAACTCAGGGATGCAGAAGGCCAGATGTGTATAGAAGAAAAGACGTCAATAAAAGTGGGTATGAAGCAAGCAGCAGGTCGGTGAGATGGCTTAGCAGATCAGAGTGAGGGTAAAAGTACTCGCCACATAAGCTTGATGACCTGCGTTCAGTCCCCAGAACCCATGGTGGAAGGAGAACCTAAAAGTTGATTTCCGACCTCTACAAGTGCACTGTAGCACTTGTGCATGCTATTTATTTCTCTGTTTCTCTTCTCTCTCTCTCTGTCTTTCTCACAAATATATAAAAACAAAGTAGTAAAATATAAATTTCTATGCAGGTAGTCACACTAACATTTCAGTAATATCTAATAAAAACATAAAATAAAAATATTTTGATGAAATTCTCCCTATGTTTACCAAAACCCAAATGCTCATTGGGCTAATCAACCCACAGTAGGCTATATAAACCAACCCAAAATCTCAACGAACTTGAATGGAACCTTATACAAGTATCATAGTTATATTTTAAAAGCATCAAAAAAAAAGTTAAGTGGAAAGCATTATAAAAAAATGTTGTCTTTGAATTAAACCTAGTCAAGGATTACTTTCAAAGTTAGGTAAATTCTCAGCCCCAGAGCATGAGAATCTGACTCCACAGGTGGAACTGAGCCCTCATTTCCTTCAAGCCATGGTCCTAGGACTCAGCCAGGACACCACTGGTATCACTGAGTCCACACCTTTAAGGTGACCTCACCACTCCCTCTCGCTTTCTGGTTAAGCTATAATGCACTCCTGTGCTTGTGAAGCAGGAGGCCACCACTTCAAAGCCGCACACTGGCACCGCACCTCCCTCACAGACACTTTAGAGATGGGGGATGCAGACAGAAGGACCCACAGCGAAACTTCAGGTCCATGAAATGACACTTTTCGTGTCACTGTACAGTCTCCTGGCTTCTGACTCACTGCACAGGAATGCGAAGTTCCAAGCAGAAAACAAAGCGATGCTTCTTGGTCTCACTGCTCCTTTGAGACGATCACTGTTCTAGGAGGCGAAACTGGCCTTTTCTGCAAGAGCTGCCACCTCTGCTGCAGGAAGATGAGGCTGTTCCCAGATAGTCCGAGTCAGCCACACTATGACCTTGGGATGTACTTTGGTAATGCTGTTTGGAGCATCCCTATTCCCTACATCTCTACATCACAGAAGAAGTTCAAATAACCATTTTCCTTAACTGTCTGAAAGTAACTCATGAATAAGATGCTGCAACAGTCAGAATACTTAAGTATTTCCTACAAAGATGTTCTGTCATCAACAGAAATTATCATCAGAATGAGGACGCCGACATAGGCACTCTCCTGCTATCTGACCCCAATCCAGTCACATCAGTGTCCTGACAGAGCCCATCAACCTTGTATTTAACTGTCATCAAAACAGAACTAGCTCCCTAACCTGGATACTCTGAAAGATGACACATGAATCATTTTCTAGAACGGGCCTCAACTTGGGGTTACCCGACGTTGCCCCATGATTAGATTCAGTTGTGGACTTGGGTTGAAGACACAGCAGTGATGCTGGGGTCTCCATCAGTCCACTGGTCCTAGCGGGGGTACCCAACACGCTTCATGGTTCTGATGATGCCCAGGCCTGTGAGCTGCCAGTCTTCCCCACGTGGGTAATTTGTTCCTGCTTTGTACTCTGTGTGCTGTGAGAGACTCCACTACCCAAGTCAATTCTAGTCGTGCTGGTTGGCGAGCAGTCAGTCTGTAAGGTCAGTCAGTAAGTGCACTCTTCAAAGCCACCACCAACGAGGTAGTGACCAGACCACCACTCCCACAGAAAGCAAGCGTCAGGCTCCTGGGAGCCTCTCTGAAGCCAGGTTTTTGTCATCTTTCACTAAGCATGTAACTTTGTCGTCTGTGGTTCTGTTTAAAGACACCTAGTTAATACATATTCATGCTCACTGAACTCACGGCCACAGCTTTCTCTTGTGCCCTCTCAATAAGGTAACCCAGCACACGTCACTTTCTCCGTAAGCCTCGTCACAGCCTTCCAGCTCTTAAGAGCAACAGAAGCATCAGCTCTGTTTGGAGGTCATTTTAAAAAGCCAGTCCCTAATCAACTAACAAAACTCTGAGAAATGCAGCATTAAATGGTGTGCAAAAAGAATGCCTGTTTGTAGCATAAGGACTGGAAAAAGTCAGTGTTACTGTTCTGACCTCACTGGGAATGGGAAAATAGGGCAACTCAAATTCTTCCCTGTTCCAAGAGTGATTTATAGCAAATGTGCAACAAAGATTGATTTCTGAGTCACAAAATTTTCCAGTAGGTAAATCTGCAAATATACAATCCACTTGTAATGAAGACTGCTATTTCTGAATCTTAGAAATTACTGACCTAATTAAGGTCATCAGTACGGACTTGACAATCTCTATTTTATCCATTTGGTTATAATTTGTTAAGATCTATGTATTTATTATTTATTTATTAATTAATTTAGTGTGTGTGTGTGTGTGTGTGTGTGTGTGTGTGCGCGTGTGTGTGTATACACATGTATGAGTATGTGTGGGTACGTGTGCACATGGGGACCAGAGAGCAACCTCTGGTGGCATCTTCAGGTGCTGCCCACCTCTTTCTGAGACAGGGTCTCTTACTGGTCTGGAACTCTCTGAGCCCAGGGGTCTGTCCACCTCTCTTCCCAGTACAAGTGTGTTCACCAGGGGGTCTGGTTCCTCCAAGGGGAGGGGCCTGCTGAGGAGACTTGACTGTGGAGAGTCAGCCATGAAAGGAGGGGCTTGTGGAGCCATCTTGGGAGGGGAGAGGAGAGCCACCAGGAATGTTCAGCGGGCCTGGGGAACAGATAGCACCCAGGTGTACTCAAGGACAGAATGACCTGGCACTTATGGACCTGGGGCGAGACTGCTGGCCCCCAAGGTGTGGGTGAAAGCTAGCGGCGGCTATGGGCGGCTCTGAGCCGTGGTGTGGAGCTAGGCACTGGGTGCTCAGTTCTTTGTAAGTCACCCCCCCCCCGCAATGATAATACTAAATGCAAATAAAGATATGTTATATGGTTTGCCTGATAGCACAAGAGACCCAGAGAGAACTCTGGCGAAAGCTGGGATAACAAGCATGTGGCATCATGCTGTTTTGTGTTTTAAACTGGGACTCTAGGGATCAGACTCAGGTCCTTACACGCACATGGCAAGCATTCATCAGTGATTGGCATATCTCTCATGAATCACTCTCATATCTCCCCAGTCCCTCGGTATTTATTTTGATGTTCAAATTGTCCCAGATTTGGCCACTGAGACCCCTTCAAGCTGTTTCTCATCTTTCTTTGAACACTTCCTTACTTTCAAGCACAAAAGGCTTCAGTCTGGCTCCTCTTGTATACCCCCTGCCTCGGGCCTGCAAGCAGCCATTCCTCCTAGGAGCCCTGGTTCCTCTTAGTGCCTAAGAGTGACTAGAAACTGCAATGTTTAATCTCAGTTGTCAGCCTGGCTAGACTGAGAAGCACCTAGCTAAGCAAGGCAAGGCAACTTCTGCATGTGTCTGTGAGGGAATTCCAGGGAGTGTTAACTAAGGGGAAGATCTGGTCTAACGTGGGTGGCACTATCCCCAAGGCCTGGGCACAGAGAGAGCAAAGTGAAGACCACCCAGTCCACAACACAAGCACTTTCTGTTTCCTGACTGCCAGTCTTTCCTCTTCTTCCAAGTTGTTTCTCCAAAGCATTTTGTCACAGTAACAGGAAAGTGACTAATAGACCTAGAAACCAGATGTTTACTGCTAACGCCACATGATATTGTTGCTACCTTTACATATATTTGTATATCTATATGTTGAGAATCATGAGTTTACGTCATTATCTTCTATTAAAAAACACCAGTGTTAGCTTTAATTTCCTTCTTTTTCACTTACAATTTTCTTCTTAGATTAAAAAACCCACGACAGATTATCCTTGATCCATCTGTTGATGAGATCAGTTCCTTGCAAGTCAACAATCCTTAGCACCTGTCTCCTGTTGCCTGTCCATCCACCCACCAGATTCTCCAGACCCGGCTCCTCTCTGGCCTCTGTACCAGAGCACCTCTCTACAGGAACGAATGTCTTGTTCACTGGATTCAGGCCTCGGCGGCCTGCTCCATGCCACTGGCTCCTCCACATAAGCAACTCTCTCGTGGGCTCTGGGTCCCTGGAGTTCTCTACTTTCTCCTATATTGCTCGGATACTATGCTTGGCCAGCCCCACTTAATCCTTTGGACTGAAATGTTCTGGAAGGGTTGAACAGAGAAAGACAATACAAATGATCTTAACAGCTGACTTTGTCCTGGACCACAGGGAAATCCTGGACCAGATCCTAAGCTCCTTAGAAGCAAGCCCCATGCCTGTGTGTCATCTCCTGGGGCCAGGGAGATAGTTGAGCTGGTAAAGTAGTTGTCATACAAGCACGAGGATCTGAGTTCAACTCCTAGAGCCCATGTAAAAAGAGCCATGCATGGCAGTGTGAACTTGTAATTCCAATGCTGTGACGACAGAGACAAGTGGATTCTCCAGGTCCCAGAGACAGGCTGTCTCAAAAAACAAGCCAGACAGCGCCTGGGGAACAACACCTAAGGTTGACCTCTGGCTTCCACACATAGCATTCCCCACATCTGAATACTGAATATATACATACATGTACACGCAAACACACTCTCTCTCTCTCTCTCTCTCTCTCTCTCTCTCTCTCACACAGACTCCATCTCCTGGCTCATGGACAACTGAACAGATAAATATGATATTGGCAAAGAACTTGGACATACTGGCCTTGGCTTCCATTCTCTGCACACGGCATTCCAGATATTCCATTTTTAATTTAACATTTCAAAACTCTCAATATGAAACCAGGTTATTCCCTATGAAACTGTAAATGGAAGGATCACTGATTATTTGGGGAATAAATGGTAACACCCACCTTTGTACTCGGTACACTCGAGTCCATGGAGGCACAAGGGCTAGGATCCGAGCCACCAGTTCAATCAGGTCACTAGGAGAATAACTCTTGTATCTTCCTGATTTCCACAGCTCGTACAGCCCAGTTCCACGAATCACCAGCGTAGGGTAGAGTTTCAAACCATCAGGACGAAAAGCAGGGTTCTCAAAAAACTCCTGTGAACAGAGAACATTACTTCTCCCTTAGTTCTGTACCCACAGGGAAGTCTCAGTCCTACACCAGTGTCCTCACACCTTCAGCTGGCCCTGGGGTTGCCGGCCCATCCTTTCTGAGAAAGCATACATCAGGAAGACAGTAAGTCACTGTTCCCTAGCTCCACCCTGGACTATACTGCAAAGTCCTTCTCGTGTAGCCCTGTCTCAGACTGAATACTACTCATTTGTCTGTCTGTCTGTCTATCTATCTATCAATCATCTATCTATCTATCTATTGATCTATCTATCTATCTATCTATCTATCTATCTATCTATCTATCATCATCTATCTATATTTTTTAATAGTCTCCCTAGTCTCAGCCCACCTGGAACTCATTATGTGGACCAGGCTGGCCTCTATCTCAGAGATCCCCCTGCCTCTGCCTTCTGAGTGCTAGGATTAAAGGCATGCACCAACACACCCAGCCTAGTGAATATATTTAATTGTTTAAACATTTAAAAAGCTGTGAAAAAGAAAAAAAAAATTAAAGTCTCATTAAAGCCCACAATATAAACAAAGGGAAAAGAAAGAAAAAAATCCCCTACGGTGTTTACTGTAGGGCCCTTAGAAAAAGTCTGTGATCACAGGGAGCCAGTTTTGAGGTCAGGTGGCCAGCAGTGCTTCCGCCCAGGCTATGCTGTCTGTCTGTTTTCTGGACACTGGGCAATGTACACAGCTCATCTGCTTCTGTTTCAGGCAGAGCCATTCTGACCCTCATGGTCCTGCTGGCTGGGACACTGCAAGGAGACACCAGGACGCTGAAAGATGTGGGTTCTAATCCTGATTTTTGCATAGTTTGTACAGGATGGAGGTGGGCTCATAGGCCACCCCCCCGCCCCGATTAGGATCTAACCCAGCAGTGTACTCTTTATCTTGGGAAATAGTAAAGTGTGTTTTTAAACTCTGCTACCTTTTCTTACAGAACTTTCTACTGTTTAACTTGCTTTCAAACGAATCTAACTATAGAGTTTCCATCTCACTGTCATTCTTGAAAGCTGTATTCTTTCCCCAACACGTGGTCTTAGAGATACTCTTTTGTAACTGTGTGATTTCTCCTGTAACATTTGTATTTTAAATTTTCATGAGGTCATTAATAAATACTCTAGATACCCACAAAGAGCATGCCCACAAACCATTCTCTACCCAGCACGAGATTTCAGGAGATATATGGATGGATATATTCCTTTTGTAAGAACAATGCTAGACCTGGACTTGTGATTAAACAGAGAATTAAACTATGGGTTTCTCTCCTTTTCCTCTCAAACCATAAGGAAACAACAAGAAGTTTTAAAAAGATTGGAGGGAGGGTTGATAAGGAATGGCAACAAATTCTTTGAGGACAGAAAGCAGATAAAAGACTGGCAAACAACTCTTCAAGTGATAGAGACTGCAAACAGAGAGACTAATGAAGGCCTTTGGGTCACTCCACAGTCCAAGAAAGGCTCATGGGTCAGAAGGCCCAACCTGGCAGAATGGAAGAGACATGAAAATAAAAACAGGTACTAGCCGGGTGTGGTGGCACTCGCCTTTAATCCCAGCACTCCGAGGCAGAGACAGGTGGATCTCTGTGAGTTCAAGACTAGACTGGTCTACATAGTGAGTTCCAGGCCAGCTGGGGCTACCGGGAGACCTATTTCAAAAAAGACAAAATGAAAAGTAAATAAATAAAAATAGGTACTGGATGGGAGTCTGCACATGGAGGGACCTGTCCCTTCTTCCTGTGCTGGTTAAGAAGGTACTTTTCCTGGATACACTGGAGAATCTCTGGACTACGAGATTCTGGGCACAAAGGCTGATGACAGGGAAGAGCCAGTATCTTCACTGGTGGGCCCTGAGCCCCAGATGCCAATGTGCAATTTCCTGTGATTGACTTATGCTACCTGCCACCATGCAGAGATTTCTACTCTGGCTCTGTCCAATGACCCTGTACAAATTCAAGACACTGGCATTTAGGATCCCCTTAAATGACAGCTTACTACCCGAACATGTTTTAGTGAGCACTTCAGCAGACAGAGCTTGAAATCTGTTTGTCAGTCCCTTACTCTGAAAGCATGAACATCTGGCTAAAGAGATCCAGAAATTTGGGGGTGCTGCAATAAAAAGGAAATAATGGCATTTACAACCACCTATACCTCCAGTTCCAGGGGATCTGACACCCTCTTCTGGCCACTGTGGGCACCAGGCATGGATGTGGCGCTCATACATATATACAACAAACACTCATATACATAAAATAAAACTAAATCCTTAAAATATATTTAATAAGGCTTCTGTTATAGTTTTTGTTTAATAAGGATAAAATGAATTTAACAGGGCTCACTGCTGGCATTGTGAAGACACATTTGAAAGGCGCACAACGGGCTGTGGGTGGCAGGTCAGGAGACGGAAGAGAGCAAAACACCGACCCTTGTGTGCAAAGAAAGTAGAGGAAGAGACTAAAACACAGGTCCAGAGGCAAGAAGAGCAGCAAGAGAAAACAGCCACAAGAGGCAAGAGGCTACGAAGCTCCCGATGGAGATGACAGTTACAAATGCCCAGACTAAACCAAATGACCCGAGTCAACTTTGGAGCTGGGGATGTCACAGCATTTGAGAGGCACTTCCATGGGGAACAGTGGGTGGGAGGAGGGTGTGATGGCAAGGCAGCAAGAGCCCCGGGCCTTTGTGAGTGAGAGGGCAGGGCCGGATGAAAAGGAAGGCCGACTCTGAGAAGAAAGGGTCCCTGTCAATGAAAGCTTACAGTCCATTTAGACTTCATTCCCACAAATGTGCCACTTGCAAATTAAAAAATAACGATGACTGTTTTGTCCCTATAAGATCTATTCTGAACATACCAGCCAGGAGTTTTCTATGGACTGCGCCACTTCCAGATCAGGTGTAGTCACTCACAGTAAAAGAGACTCTCCTTCCCTGACAGGAACCAGGAAAGAGGAAAGACGGGGGGCTAGGCTAAGAGCTTGGTCCTCCCGAAGCTCATCTCTGACCTCTAGTGACAGGCTTTATTGCCTCCATGTAGTGTTATAACCAGATGGTCTTTTCCAATATAATTCAATTCTCATCTATGCTTCATGACAAACCTTTACATTCAAAACAAAGCAAACAGACAGTAACAAACACCTCTAGGTGCTCCTGTCAAACCTTGGCCTAATGATATTGGCCTCTAGAAGAAACTGCTCAGTGGAAGAAGAAAAATCCCAAGTGTAGAAAAGTATGGCCAGCCAGTGGTGTGCTCCTTTAATCCTAGCATTAAGGAGGCAGAAGCAGGCAGGACTCTCTGTGAGATCAAGGCCAGCCTGGTCTACATAGCAAGTTCTAGGGCAGCTGGGGCTACAGAGAAACGCTGTCTTAAAAAAAACAAAACAAAACAAAACAAAAAAACCCACAATAAAAGAAAGGTAAGGTAAGACCAATATTAACAAACTTAAAAATTTCTAGTCACTGATAAACTATTCCTCAATAAAACATACTCTGTCCATTTTCAGTAAACTGAGTCTAGACATCCTGGTACAGTCTTAATTTTTAAAAGAACAAAATACCAGGGACTGGAGAAATGGCTCAGCAGTTAACACTGGCTGCTCTCACAGAGGACCTGGGTTTGATTCCCAGCACCCATGTAGTGGTTAACAGTTGTCCATAACTCCAGGTCCAGGGTATCTGATGCCTTCTTCTGACCTCCATGCATGACATGGATGTACTTACATACATGTAGGCAATACAGTTATACACATAAAATAAAAAGAAAATATTACCAAAAAAAAAAAACAACAACAACAACAAAAAAAAACTACCAAAGCGGCTGAAAGGTTTTGAGCAGCAAGTCCTGCCTGAGGGTCGCCAAGAGGGCGAAGTTAATGTTTGCAGGATGGATTCCTAAGAGGTTAAACATTCTCCACCTCACCAAAGACAGCATTCCTAAGAAAAAAGACTTCACATGGAAATTCAAACTGAGTTACTGCGAAATACAGGCAAACGCTGCCAGTCACATACAGCTACAAGCACTACACCTACTGTCATTTAAGAACATGGGCGCAACGTGTTCTACTGTCACAGAGAGTGTAAATGGACTAGAACTAGTAGCTAGTAACTACGATTCTGAATGTTTTCATCCAAAGAAATGATAAATGTTTGAAGAAGTGCATATTTACTGATCTGGACATAACACAACATACACATTATTTAAACATCACATGGTACCCTATAAACAGTAGAACTTTACTATGCTAATTAAAACCTGTGAAGTTACAAGACAGATTCAGATGAACAAGATCACACTCCTGGCATCAAGAAAATGGACACATCAAAGTAATATTCCTAAGCCCACTGAGAGATAACACAGGTAGGTATAACACTCCAGAGACTCAGCTAACTAGGGGAGTGCAGTGGTTTTGGGAAGCCATGTGGGACAGGCAGTCCGGCCCACCACACAGACAAGGTTTTGTAGGAAGACAGTAGTAGTGCACTGTAGTTTTGTTTTTCTTTAAAGATTAACTACTTTGAGGACTTTCAGACAGGTTTATTGGTGATCTGAGTATCTTCTCTTATGAAACACTTGCTGCTTATGGTCTACTCTCCTACTGGGAAGTCTGTCCTTTTCATAGTGATCTGTACACATCATTGATTTTAAGGCAATTTACAAGTTAACTTGCTGAGAAGTTTTCCCGAGAGTTCAGATTTCTCATTTTGGCTCCACTATGTGTCTTTTACAACAGTACACAGTTAAAGGGACTGTTCGTGTACCCACGGGTTTCTCAGAAAAGGTTATGAACAAGCAGATGAGTCTGTTCCTATGAAGAGTTGTCCTTATTCTGAATACAGTAAAGGAAATGGTGAGACCCAGCTCTGCTGCTGCTTGCTTTGACTTTAGACACACTGTAGCTGTTTGAGAGCAGAGGAGAGAGGGAGGGAGGGAGAGAGAGAGAGAGAGCGAGAGAGCGAGCGCTTGAATCAGCCTTGTGCATGCTAGGCAAGTACTCTACCACCAAGCTTCATCTCCAGTCCTCAAGAGCACTTAAAAGTTTATAAATTCCCTAAGAAGTGTGATAAAGATGTGTGTTTCAGGGGCTGTCAGCTGGGTGTCTGAATACCTGCTATTATTTACTAAGGGATGACACGACTCTGTATACATTACATAACCCACATTACAGAATTACTAACAGGGAGATCTGTTGAGTTAATGCTGTCATATAAACAAACTATCTGTTATAGTTCAATAGCCTGAATAATAACAAAACTCAACTACAAAAGGAAAGAATCAGTAACTTCATAAATAAAATATAATGAACTCCATTCTTCTAAATGGGGCAAAATGAATGTATTTATTTGTGAAATAACCATCAATATTGTCACTCTAAAAGGACAGCTTTAAGATATACTCCCCCTACATAAGAATTTGAAGAAAAACTAAGAACCTGGCCCAGACACATGTGTTGTCATTTCTCAAAGCTAACACAGATCAGCAAACTGGAGGAGTCAAAACAAAGCCAGCCTCAGAGTTACAATGAGGGTTAAAGTTCACAGAGTTAGGAAGGCCAGACAGCAATGGAAAGGATGGCTGAGGTCAGAAAAGTCTGGAGGAAAAAGAGGGTCAATGTACCCAAAGTAAAAGGAATCAGTTGGGGAAAATACATGTAACAGACATGAAGAACGAGACATTAATGTCCTTATCTTGAAAGTTCACATAAGTCAGTATGAAAATATGGTCATGGCTGACAAGAACACAATTCTCTGAGATGAAGAAACAGAATCAGCAAATACAAATCTGAAAAACATATTATGACCATTTTAAAATACAAGTCAAAATGGCATTTTCCTTCATGAGATTAGGAGGGATTAGAATTCTATAGTGTGCAGCACGTGTGTACATACAAGTAAAGAGAAATGGGAGGTAAACAGGAAGGAGCGTTTGGGGGAAAGTCTGCTGAAACAGTGCAAGCTGCTAAAGATTTCTGAAAAACAACAGTGATACAGAGGTTCTTAAAATGTCCGTCCCTTTACCAGATCACCCTACTCAAGGAATTTGTCAGCAAAGAAATAAATCTCGATAGTGTAAAATGTTACAAGCATAAAGCTGTTTGCCTGCAGTGTTCTCTGTAACATCAAAACCTGCTAACATCTTAAATTTTGAAAAGTCTGAAGTAGTATGCCAGGCAGATTAAATTAGACAGCCGGTCACAGCAGCACACGCCTGCAATCCCAGTATTTGGAGGCTAAGATAAGAATTTGAGGTTGGCCTTGACTACATAATGAGACTTGTCTCACAGAACAAAACCCAAAACCACAGACATTAAAATACGGCAACACTTGTTTATGGCAAGGCTGCAAATGGAGAAACATTAGGGATCGTGCGCGCATGCGTGCGTGTGTGCATGTGTGTGTGTGTGTGTGACCTGTACAATGTTGTTACCATGGAGTGAGAAAGCTGCAGAACGGCCTAGCTCATACACATGACCAGCCAGCGTGCCTGTGTTCTATGTGCACAAACAGCCCAGCTCCCCCAAAGCCTAAAGCATCTTAAAAACCCTGGATGGTGTATTAAATAGTAACTTGAGGGTGACTTCTCTTTCCTGGGTTTCCAGTGCTGTGTTATGAGGCCGCACTGCTCTGAGGACACAACGACAATGAGCAGACAACAGCAGAGGTGCAGGCAGCAGCTTGTGACCGGCCTAGCGGGGGCCACTTACTATGAACTGTTCAATGTCTCTTTCGAGTCCCACGTTCGGCAGGTCAGGCATCATATGAGCCACAACTTTGAAACCAGAATCTTTGGCCAGGTGGAACGACTCACATACCGCCTTCACAGTGTGGCCCCTGGGGGAAGGAAACGCATTACCTGTCAGACAAATAAATGGACAACCAAGTAACACAGCGAGTGGAGGAAAACAAACTGAGACCAAGAATCATCTGTCTGGGGACAAAAATCTCAGAAAGTCGTCTCTCATACTCTTCTACGGAGGCCTGGAAGAAAATCATTTTACTTCTCAGGTATTTCTTAGAAATTCCCTTATGCTTCTACTCAAAGTCCTGGAAGTAAATGACCAAGTAAGAAGAATTAATGTACATGACAAGGACCTGGCTCAGCATCTTCATTAAAAACAAGCTTTTTGCAGGTATCTACATTAGACAAGAACATGCAGAAGACAGGCTTGGTGAAGCACACCTATCATCCCAGCACTGGGGAGGTGGAAGCAGGAGGATCAGGAATTCAAGGTCGAGCTCGGTGTGGTGGCACGTGCCTTTAGTCTCACAACTCCAGAGGCAGGAGAACTTCTGGTCTTCATAGTGAATTCCAAGGATAAAAGGAAAAACCAAACAAAAAAAGAGTTCAAGGTCATTCTTGGTCATATACCAAGTTCAAGGCCAGCTTGGGCTCAAAACAAACAAAAAAACCCTCAAAAAACCAAACCACACAAAAACCCAAAATGAAATCATACAGAAGTTGCCCCTTGCTACATCATGTCCTTTAGAAATATGAAATGCTGGGGGCGGGGCGGGGAGAAGGCGCTTACAATACAGAGTAGAGCTCACTGGTGTGTTGGGGTCCTAAGGTGCTGTAAGGCAGGATCTTTGCAGCATAGGGATGGGATCAGGCCTCTGAGCACTCTGCCACATCCAAGCAGGAAGTAACTAACACCCGAGGCCTTGTGTCACTCCCTTCCACCACCAAGATGCTCCCATTTACTACAGAAAGACCTCAGAAGCCACACCTCTACCCCACCCCTCTGAATGGCCCACTTATTTCCAAGGCTTCTTTTTCTAGTTTGTTTTTGCTAGTGACTTCCAAAGTTCTTGCCTCTCTTCTGAATTCAGCACTCAAATATTCTGCTTTTGAATTTATACAACAATGTTGTCACTAGTTATATGTGGCATTGAAAGATTTACTTAATTATAAAGAAATATTCATTTCCTCAGTTGCACTGTCATATCGGACAGTTTGAGTATGGGCTGTCTTGATCCCAGCAGAATATTGTATTGGCTAACCCTGCTCTAAAGTAAACATTTAGTTCCACAACTACCTAAAGTTTAGGGTATCCAAATGAAACCTTCTTCCTTCCAAGGCTCCTTGACTCCCCATTCTCTCCTACCTTGCTTAAAAAGCAAGCAAACAACAGCATTCACTCCTCTCCAGAACATGAGGATTTCTTGCTTCAGCGACCCCAAGTGTTATGGGTGGGTCTGTCTCCTTCCAGTCTGTTCTCAGCTATTTCCCACACTGGACTGCGCTTACTGAAATGTGGGCACGCCCCTATCTTAGCTCACAGCCTGCCTACTCATCAAAGCCCAGGCTCCTGGGCTGACTTCTGGGGCGCCCTCGGCCTGCCATGTGCTCCACCCTCAATCTTCCTTCCATGAACTGAGTGAATTCTTCTCTGAGCTCAGCATAGACATAATTTTCTCTAGAATGTGCCGCTGACCATCTCCACAGGGAGTGCTCTAGCAGAGCCCGTGATGGGTAAGTGCTTCAACCAGCTTCTTGTGGGAGATTTTCCCTATAGGAGTGATCTCTTTCCCAGGCTCCTTTTTCTCAGGTATGATACCCATTAGAATCTCCCCTGTGTTCAAAAATACCCAGTAGATCACTATTATTTAAAGGGGGAAAAAAAATCCTGGGGCCTGCCATTCCTCCTGGCTGCTTCTAAGTGTAGACGCAGGTGGTTCCCAGCTCCCCTTTACTTCATCTGCAAGCACAACCCCTAGTCATATGAAGTGGACTTCAGAGTCCAGCTCAACACCCCCTCCTGAAGCCTGCCTTGGCTACTCACGAGTCAACGGTCTCTCTGGATCTCCCTGCTCTCCCACCAAGGTGGCAGTTATTTAAAGCTTCTCATATACTTACCCTTCCTGGGTATATCATTCTCTGGCTCAGAGGTGTATTTCCAGAGGGAAGAGAACTTCAGATGACTACATCAACTCTTATTTACATACCCTAATTTCTCAAAATCTACCCCTACTGCCGCACCAAAACTTTCTTGACTCCCATGTCAACAAAACCTGCTTTGTAAGACTGAGCATCAGGGACTGAGGAGATGGCTCAGAGGTTTTAAAAGGACTTGCTGTTCTTGCAGAGGACACAGGTTTGGTTCCTACATGGTGGCTCACAATCATCTGTAGCTCAGTTCCAAGGGAACCAATGCCCTCTTCTGGCCTCTGTGGTGCACATACAGTAAACACATACATAAAATAAAAATGAGCAAATCTTTAAAAGTCAGCCTCACCCTGAATTCTTTCTTACCTCAATCCTTTTCTTGATGCCGTTTTCATTGGCTGTTTCACACTGACCCTTCCTGCCTCACACTGACATCTCCTGTCTCACACTGACACCTTCTGCCTCACACTGACATCTACCACCTCACACTGACCCCTCCTGCCTCACACCAACATCTCCCAACTCACACTAACCTCTCCCGCCTCACACTGACCTCTCCCACTTCACACACGGTTTTCATCAGCTGCTTCACACTGACCTCTCCTGCTTCATACTGCTGATGGAGTCCTGTCTCCTGTTTCCTACAGAAAAGCCACCATGCTGAGGACAGAGAAGTCTGGAGGAGGGTTCACAGAGAGGAGCTGAAAAGGAAGGCCAGAGCAGACGGCCTGAAGAGCATGGATGAAGACATTTTACCTGCCACCATCTCACCTGTTGGTATCTCTGGCTACGTCTTCGTAGACACTCTGCACCCCGATCTCCAGCCTCGTGCAGCCGTACGTCAGCATGTCACTCAAGTGCCGCTTCATGCAATAATCTGGCCTGGTCTCGATAGTAATTCCAATGCATTTTGTAAGGCTTCTCTCAGAATACCTGCAGAGCAAGTCTAAAGGTGTCAGACCTGCCACGGCTTTGGGTCATCCCCAGCACATGGTGTGCCTGCTCTTAGCCCTCCCAGGGTGGACAGTAACTAAAGGTGTCAGACCTGCCACGGCTTTGGTCATTTCCCCCAGCACATGGTGTGCCTGCTCTTAGCCCTCCCAGGGTGGACAGTAACTAAAGGTGTCGGCTCTGAAACCAGACAGTGCAGGTTCAAATCCTGGCTCTGATACCTCCTCACTATGAAAACAGCAATAGCTTCTCAGGCTTGGCTTCTTCATCTTCAAAATGACAGACGCAATAGTGCCTACACTTCACAGGCTGACGTGATGGCACAGGCACACCGTAATGTCATTATCCCTACTTATTATTCTCATGAAGTCTGCTGCACCCATAATCTTCTTGAAAACAGCTATTTCAACTATGAACACCTATTTCTCAATTCCTAGCAACCGTTTTTCACATAAGCAAAAACCATTTGCATTATTTATTTCCCACTCTACATTGTAGATCCATTTTAAATAAAAGGGAAAAAAGGGGAGGGGAAGAGTGTAAAGACTGCAGGAGAATTCAACCGAAATGTCTTCCACGCATACGGACATGCCTATTGGTCTTACCGCTTTAGACTTACATTAGCTTGCCCAAGGCACACAGACGACACATCTTGCTCAGGGGACTGGGGGTGGGGGTGGGGGGCAGAATTCAGTATCAGAGACCACTGTGACCCACACTGGCCCACTGACTCTCAACAGGAGAGGTATCCTATCACCCCATTCGGTAGATGAAGATACTAAAGTTCAAAGGGAATAAACAGGTAGTTTGAGGGCACAGAGCTAATAAAATCCAAGTGAGGAGTTGAGGTGGGTCTGTGTCCTGTATAATCCTCATATTTTATGACCTGGATGAGACTACTCAAGGATGTAACCTTCCTAAATGTAATCATTCTTCATTCTTTCCATAACTTTCTCAATTTTGGGGGGGGGGGTTGGGAGGTGGGTAGGAGAGGTGGTGAGAGGTTGAGGGAAACCTTTTATAGCCATTTATTTTTTCTTTCTAAATAAGTTTATAGGTTTTTTGAAAAGCAAATATCATAATAGTGTAACTCCTTGATTAGACTCAAGTCTTCATTCTTTTTAAAGATTAAAATTTTTATTTTTGTCATATGTGTGTGAGTGGCTGCCAAGTGGGTGTGAGAGCCACTGGAGCTGGAGTTACAGGTGATAGTGATCCCCCAGATGTGGGTGCTGGGAACTGAACTCGAGTCCTCTGCAAAAGCAGGAAGTGCCCTGCCATCTCGCCACTCTCCAGCCCCTCATTTCTTACTAATTTAAAATGATTAAGACTGTAAAGAGTCAGTGAACCACAGGACTAATTTTTAAGTCTGTCCTGTTTATTTCTGTTCTCCACAAGTTCTTATCCCAGAGGCTACATGATCAGAAGTAAACGAGAGGGCAAAGTCACTAAAAACTGAGGTATAAGACAAAAAGGCTCCTATCAAGTGTTGTTTAAGACAGAATGGTAAATTATTTTTTTCTGAAACTTTTCACGAAGTCCAATGCCTACCAAAGAGGAGGGACCAGAAACAGAGGCTGGGAAGTATGTAATGCCACAAAACCAATGCAACACACCTGCATCCAATGGCAATACGGGGCTTCAGGGAACTGCTAAAATCAAAACAAATACTTATATAACACAGAGAAAGCAAATTACATACAGATTGATGAAAGACAGAGGGCACAAAGCTCTCAGTACATGTATTTCAAAACAGTAATACCCTAGAGCCTGGGATTCTAAAATCGTATCATAAACCTTCCTATTAATTGGCATTTCCTAAAAGCAATGTCCTTAGGCAAGCAGGCCCAGTAGCACAGCGATAGCTTTTATCACTGGGAAAAACTAGAGAGCTGGCAACGACTCCAGCGAGAATTTGCCTAGAGGAAAGGGAAAATGTCTGAGCTAATCTTTTCACTGCACAGAGCATCCAGGACCCACCGAGGACTCACGGGAAGAGGCTGTGGCAAGCATGATAAGTTTGCTTTATAAGTCAGAATGCAGTACACGACACAAACAAATCTTACGCTCAAAAACTTAACTCTTTCCAGAATGTCTTTCCTCTGAGAAATACATGGAAAGAGAGAAAATAACTCAAGTTTTTAAAAGTCAGTGTTTTAGATTTCCTTTCAGAATTGCATTTTCATCTGAAAAGCAATTAAACAGAAATTCTTACCAAATGTGAACAATGAGAAAAGGGGAGGAGGATGTCCTGTCTCCCATAGCTTATTCTCTTTCCTGACTGTCTGTGACTGCTGTATGTAGTCCTGAATCCTACCAAATCTGCTGCTCATTTAAGAGACAGGATATCAATATAACTACTTTTCATACGCAAATATGTGCATATGGTGTCATTTAATCTGAGCTGACATTCCACAGCCTGCTATGTAATCCTGCACATCTTTTAGGCAGCCAATCGACAGGATGGTTCTTTCAGCACTTGGGTCAACTCCACCCCTTCCTGGGACCACCGATCTCAGGTTCTTGGGTAGAGAGGAGCAGTGTCTACTTCTAAGTGGGTTTAAAAAAAAAGCCTATACTTGTACTTGGTCTTCTCACTCCAATTCTGCTGTTCTTCACGTGGCACTGGAGAGTCCGCTTGTGCCAGCCTGCACAGCATATGGGGCTACACAGGATATTCGGGATGTTCTTGAATGCTAACAAGAGGACCAACTCCAAAAGACTCTAACGTTCTCTAAGATGCATAACTTAAGGCCCAGCACTCAGGAGGCAGAGGCAGGAGGATCTCTGTGAGACTGAGGCCAGCCTGGTCTACATAGCGAGTTCCAGGCTAGCTGGGGCTGCAGCACAGAGATGCTGTCACAAACAGACTAAGAAAAAAAGCAAACTATGACTTAAGCCAGTAACTTAGGGTGACAGAATTGTTTCCAGTTAGGGGTAAGGGAGCAGGTGCAGAGTTAATCAGATAATCATCTTGGAGCTTAAAAGCAAACCAAAACAATGCTAACATATCTTCAAGAAGCTTGAATATAGTTTCCTCCCATGATATCTTCCTAGAACCCCATGGTAAGAGCGCCATGTTCCTGTCCACACTACAAAGTTTGCCTTGTTATTTGTGAATTCTAGATAGCTCCTAGAAGGCTAAAAAATGTTTAGTTGTTAATGGCTTAAAAGTTGGGCTCTAGAAACTCCTTCAATTAACAGCAACCACAAACAAACTTGAAGAGTGAATATGTAGATTAATAGTACTTAGGACAGAGGAAGTCTCTTCTCTCCCACAGCCTCTAGAGATCTTGCTGGGTATCTTTCCTTTTGCAAACAGTAAACCAAAGAGCACTGTGCACAGGACTGGGATTCTGTACAAACTAAAAGTTTTGATCCCAGAGATGCTTCATTGTCAAGGTGCAGGGATAAGACACAACCACTCAGAGTCACTGCAGAACAACAGCTAGAAGAGGGAAATATGGATATAGACTTTTACTTCTAGAGAAACAGTGGCTGCCATGAGATAGGTGTGTGTCTGTTACCACATACTGTCTCCCTGCATCCAGGGCCCCAACCAGAGGACCCTGGTAGAAGGCAACACACTGGTTTTAGTCTTTATCTTCTGGTTTTCTTCATGGAAGCTGTGGTGTCAGGAGCCAGCTCATGACTACCAGTCTGCTCTTTCAAACTCCTGCCATTACTACAGTGGGGCATGCTCAAACTAGACCCACTTCCAAGCATATGAGGTTCTGAGAGGCCATGAGACACTCCCATAGGACCTCAACTTCAAATTGCTAAGGAAATCATTTCGATTTAATGAAATATTAATTTCCATTATTCATGATCTATAAACTCTTCTCAGCACTGACAGGCCCCAAAGCAGTCAGTGGAGTTCACAGCTTCTTTGGAGAGAGTTGCTTGGGTTGTTAGTGACACCTGGGGTTGCTACTGTTATGCCTGGAAGCCACAGTCATAGGACAAGGTCCTTTATAAACTATTGTCACACCTGGAAAACCCCTCAACAAAACTGGCTGCTTCTCACAGTGATATTTGTGATATTTTAGGTAAGTCTAAATGAGCTGGGTGCCAGAGGATTTAATAACCCTCTTTTGGAGACTGTGATCATATCTGCTTGGAATTGGCTATGTCAATAGGATCTGAAAATAAGTAACAGTCCTTGCCCAGTACAAACTGAAATAACAGAATTTCAACTTTTAAATTAGTACTACCCAGGAAAAACTGGCCTGGTGCCACTGAACCTCAGAGAACCATCCAGGTGCCCTGGCCCACTATTCAACAAGGCTGGCCACATATAAAAGCATCCCATGACATTCTGGGTTTGATTCACTCCAGCTGACAAAGGCTCTTATCCTTTTATGGTCTTGATCAGATTGCTGAAGAATCAACAACAGCACTTTTATTTTTAAAGGCAGGGCCTCACTGTGTAGCCCAGGCTGGCCTCAAACTCACAGAGATCCGTCTGCCTCTGCCTCCCGAGTGTGTGGCAACAAAAGAAAAAGGCCAGACATCAATCCACACTTAAATGTAAGGATTAAATGCATAGGAACACAAAAAGCTGCCGCTGTCAGAAAGTGACTGCTAAACAAAAATCAATGTACGAGCACATCTTTTAGAGAGAAATTATTCCAACAGGAATCTTCAAATCATAAATGTCAGAGACAGAAACAATTTCAGAGATAATTTAATCCTACCTGATTTTTAGGATAACGGGGAAACTAAAGCATAGAACAAATAAGTGGTTTAAAGCAGGCAATAATGCAAAATCCCAACAAAAGTAAGTCTGGCCAAGTCGGGGTGGCAGGTGTACCTCAGTCCTGGCCACTGAGAGGCTGAGGCATGAGCTGGTCAAAATTCAAGATCAATCTGGTCTGGAAACTAAGCCTCCCAATGCTTAACACAAAGCTAGTCTCACTGCGTTCACACTCAAGTACCTCAATCCTTAAGATATAAGGGACCCTTACGATCTTCTCTTAAGA